AAAATGCAATTAATTAAAATAATATAAAAAATTAAATTTTTGTTGTTGTAGTTCACTACTGCTCGGAAAAAATCTCTATATTAAATTTTATAAATAGCCTACAAGTATTAATTAAGATTAACCATTGACAGAGCTTCGAATAGTTAAGCCCACCTTTGTATCTTAAATTATTATAACCACAACTCAAATCAACTGCCAAATATCTAGATCAGAAGAAACTAGAAATGAGATTAAAAAAAATTGTATTAATTATTTTTTTTTTGCTGAAAATGACGCGTCTTACGACGAAACAAAAATATTTATAAGTTAGAAGGGTTCATTTGACAGACACGAGTTCTATGCCTGTCACTTGTAATTCAAACAAATTATATACGGACTATAAATTAATTAAAAAAATTCGAATATTTCCTGAGATCACTGATGATGAGTACTTGGGATTATACGGAACAATGTTGTATGGTCAGCCAAATTTTAATAAATTAACTAAAATTTTTGTTGTTGTGTTTTCATTTCTATTCAAATCCCTCTAATAAAAATTATTTATCTAACGGATTTTGACGTTTACATGATTTAAGTGTTTAATATATATTTGTTATTGTACATAATTCTGCATTTCTTTTTAAGGTTATTGTATTTGGACGAACCTATTACTAGGTAAGTGTTGATATAATGTGTTTGTCTTTTTAATAAACTAGATATTTTTAAAGGGAAAGATAGAAAATAACGTTTTTTAATTGAAAATAAGTGAGATTATTGGAGATGCTTGATGTAGTTATAGTCAGGATTAGCCTAGCGAAGTAGTGGCTGATTTCGTTAATGACAAGGACATCAAATTTACCTCTTCACTATTGCGTAAAATAATAAAACTGCTATTATTATGGAAATAGAGAATGGAATACTACAGACAATAAAATCTATTCTTCTATTAAGCAAGATGGAGTGAGTTAAATAAAAATTTAAAAATTTGCATGTATACGTTTTATTTACGTATAAGGTATACGTAAATAATCTATGAATATCTAGAGAGTTGCTTACTACAAATATATTTCTCTATGTATGTACCGTTATTACTAACAAAATTAATGTCTAGTTATTATATTTATACTATACTACTACAAATGTATTAGAAATTAGTTTTTATTTGTTTTCTACATCATTAAAAGGTACAGTAGCTTATTTATTGCAATAGGAAAAATTTTAATTGCAACTTAAGTAAGTATATAAATTATATGCAACGAATTACAGTATTTAATAGAATATAATTATATATAATATAAGAAGATAATTTAAATCACATTAAAATTACTGAACATTAAAATTATTATACAAAAACTTTATTGCTAATTGCTTAAACTTACCACTATTAGGTGCTTTCTATAAAATTAATTTATTTAATTACTTTAAACTAGAAATGCAAGTTATGGTAATAAAATTAAAATAAAATTTTATTAAAAGTGCAACTAGAATTTAGTTAAATGAATATTATAAACTTAATTGCTTTAGTCATTATTTAATAACTGAATTACAGCCCTTTAGCGAGTTTAAAATAGAAAAATTTCACAAGACCTGTTTATTTTTATGTGATTAAGATTTTTAAAATGATAAAAATATATGCATAAAATTGTGCTAAGATTTAGATACTGTAATAAAATATACAGATTCGCTTATTATAAACAATTATATAAAAATTTGTATAATGGCAAATGGAAATTTAAATAATTTATATAAAATTTATAATTTTAAACAGGAAAGATTTGTCTGAAATTATAATATATTTTATTGATAGTAAATTTGAGGATATATAATTATTCACATAATTTCTTTTGTATTATTTTTGTGAGCATTTTTTTCGATTTCCACACCTGCAGATAATTTTTAGCAATTATTTCTTATGATGTTTAGTGTGAAATGCATATTAATTTGCGTTTCTCATACGCACCGTGGTACGCACTCACAAAAAAGTACGCAAATCGTTACCGCAACTCGTCAGCGTATATTTTTGTTGTTGTTAGCTGACGTTTTAATATGACATTTTGCGGTCAAATTGAAATTATATACTGAAAAAAATTGCATTCATTTTTGCACTCCGAGAATTGCAATAATTAAAATTTACCAACTTTTTCATGCGTTCCCTATTGTTATCATTTTAACAGATTTTAATATAATTTCCATAAAACTTTTTTAAAAGTTTTGCGGTTATTTTTAGTAAAATATCTGCGGTTTAACAGCTTACATATGTCAGTACAAAAAAAAAAAAAAATAAAATATATTTTAATATAAATATTCTGCATGTGGCAATTAATTATTTTGTAATATTAAAATTAAATAAAATGCAAGTATTTTAAGCTTTTTCATTCAAATATTTTGCATTCATGAAATATATAACAAATTCTATAATTGAAAATTGAAAATCTGCAAATAATTGTTTTTAAAAAGTACCAGTATTTATATAGTACAAATATAGTACAAAAATTGAGGGCAATTGCTGATTTTCGAATTTATCTAATTATTTTTAAAACCAAACAATAAGTTCTCTAGTTACCTCGAAGCCATTAGGAACACTAAAAATATAAAACCTTATTTTCAAATTTTACCTACCTAAGTAGTGATTAGTGTCTTTGACCTATATACTGCACTCGCTCTAAGGACTTTTTAATACCAACTCGAATCATTCAATCAACAACCTACACGAGCCATTCCAGTTCCGACTAGAGCACGATGGGTTGGATTTAAATAGAATGCATATGATATAAAAGGATATTTGCTAGCAGTTTTGCCATTAAAATGTACATTAAGACCATACATAATTTTTGGAACATTTAAGACTTAAGCTGAGTTAATTAAAAGAATATTTGTATTTACAAGGCAAATGGGTAAAACCATATGTGTAATCTCGTTTTAAAATAAACAATGAACGAAAATACATATACTTTTTGCATAGTTCCGATTCAGCAGAATAGTATTTTAGCAAAGCATAGAATGTGGTATTCTATTTAAAATTGTTCTGGATTATTTTCGAGCCAAATGAGATAATATTTACAAAACCATTTACTGAAGTCATAATTGACTGGTTGCAAAAGTCCATTTTATTGAAGGGAAATGCAGAAAGATTAAATGCAGTATAAGAAGCTTAAATATCATTAGTAACTGCAATTTGCACAGTTCAAAACTGTTTGTAAACGAAATATTTATTTAAAAAAGGAAG